GGCCGGAGGCCGGGGCGCTGCTGGAGGGGCCGTGCCCGCTGCTCAGTTGTCACTTCAGGCGGTCGGATGCCCTTGATTTTTTTGTTGTTGTTGTTGTTCTCTGTAGCGGGAGTAGTATGTTTAAAGGTTCAGTTAGTGTTTTGCAAATCAAGCAGTGGAGTTATTCGGTTTAATTGCGTTGCTTTTGATTAGCAGAGGAAAATCAATGCTGTTTTGTACCTTTTTCCTTTTTTAGTGTAAGGAATAGCGAGAGAGTTTCCTACTGGGGAGGGTGCGATAGCAGTCTGAGTCGGGATGTGCGAGTACGGTATTTGGGCTTTCCAGGTCAGCAGCCATTGATTTAGGAAAGATTTCCTTTTTTCAAAGGAGTAAAGTTGGTAGCACCGTTTTCTGGCTTTGATCATTCAGTCCCGGTTTGTTCTGGCTTCTGTGCTGCGCTGTCTAGGACTACGTTTTCTTGAGATACGGTTCTGGGGTGGCCTCAAGGGATAAGCTGCCTGGCAGCCAGCTTTTAAGTGCAGTACATAGCCATGTTTCCAGCTCTCAGCTCTAAGTTACTGTCTAGCAAGTGTGCATCCCATCATAGGACAAATGTTATTCCAGAAATATCATAGGTTAATCCAATGCACGATCCCTTACATAGTATCGCAGCATAACTCTTTGCTTTGGGATTCTGGCGGTATCTTTTTAATGCTTGTTGGTATATCACTGCAACTTTTTATCCTGGAAACAGGTAACTGAGTAAAAGGAGGAAGATGTTAGCAGCACATATAGACCTGGGGTGAGCTCTAAAAGAAACCACACTTATTTATGCTAGGGGTGATTTTGGCTTGGGATTCTAGTAAATGCTGATAGCAATGTAGACAGTAATTACAGATGTATAAATAAGTGATCACATTTTGTTTATTCGCGTGCAGTAAATAACCCTGTGAGAATAGTAAATATAACTCAACACCAGCGAAGCAGCATGAAGAGTTCAAACGCAGGAAGATGACTCTGTAGACACATACAAATGCAGTGCTGTTCCATAAACAATAGAACAGAAAGGCCAAAAATACCATACAAAACTCATGCTGCGCAACCTAAAGACCCGGCCTTGCAACACATTGAACTCCCATTGAAGAACTCAAGACATCATGCAGGATCCGTCCCCAGGTTAGTGCTGAAAAGGTACAGTTTTGAAGATGCAATGGGTGAAGTCTTGATGCAGAGGCATTCAGGAGATTGCTTGTAGCGAATGTGTATCGCAGTGATGACTTACTGAGTAAGAGTAACTGTAAATCTGAGAAATTGTCCTCTTTCAATTGCTTTTACTTTCATTTCTTAAAAAAGGCTATTTAAAAAAAAAATCCAGCCAACTATAAACTGGAGGAGATGAGAGGGAGGGAAGAGGGCTGGAATCCAGCTGTTTCAGTACAGTACACACTTGATCACCATTTTAAAGCATTTGAATTTGTAACTGACAAACAGTTCAACTAATAGCATCACCCAATAAACGCGTTCTATAATACTGCGGTAAATCTGAGATAATATTTGTCAAAATACATACAATAGCAGAACAAAGGGTATAGATTCATGAAACAGATACTATGAGGTCTTAGGTCTGCCTATTTGTGTACATTTTTATTTGTTTTTTTCTTATGGGAACGGAAATACATGCAAGACCCATTATGCTGTAAATAAAATAGACCATTGGCTGATAACACGTGATCCTGAATATCTTCAGGGTTGGCTTAGGCTTTGATTCGACTCTGAGTATTCATATGGAAGAAGAAAAATAAAAATAAAAATGTATAATAAATGATAACAGATAATAGCTACCATCCTGTCCTCCAAAAAGAGCAGACAAGGCTCCCTCTGGAGCCTCGCAGTACTGCTATGTAATCAGTAGAAGGGTCACTATAGAGTGATTCAGAGCACTGCTTTGGAGTGAAGGGGAACCATCTGGTACTGCAGAGTAAGATAGTATGTTTGTTTTTTACTAGTATTAGAGTCCCTGTTCCTTTAAGCTCCAGTCAGGAGACTTTTAAATACGGTTTGAAAGCAGAACCCCCTTTGACTTAGGGGGAAAGAATAGCATCCAACCTTATATTTTCTGTACTCTAAAATTGTCGTGTTTGTGACTTTTTGTCTTCACTTTCAGAAGATAATTGTTCTCGCTGTAGTTAGCCTTACAGTTCTGAGCTGTAATCCAAAATGAGGATGCCGAGAAAGAGTGGAGAAGGCAGCAGACCCTGCTTGGTTTTCCTGTTACCATGGCAAAACATGAATTCCTGTATTTATTTACCTGATGGATGGCATGCTCCAGGGAGCTGGAACTATTCTGCATCTTTCAGAGAGAGTAAGGGAGCAGTTAGACACAATCAGGCATAAAACAAAAGCTCTTCCATGAAGAAGGTCCCTTCAATAATGCCTTCTATTGCAACCAAAAAACACATGGATGCCTTACCTTAAGGGTATATTCTAGTTGATATTTTCAGTCCTAATCTTGTAGTCGTTTTGCAAGCTTTTTCGCATCCCGTATAAGCTTGCCTTTTCAATAGCTGTCTTGCTAAGGTTATTTGAGACAACTGTGCTAAGTGTTTAGCTACCTGGAGTGCAGTCAGTTATCTCTACTCAACTTGCCGTAACACTGGATATATTTATTCCCAGCAGACTAAGACTGAAAATGCTGTTGTCGTCACCTTTTAATGATAAACAGTTTCCTGATAAGCAAATTCATCTCTGAAGTTTCCGCCTTTTAAAAATGGTTGGCATAAACATATATGGATAATCCTAGGAGAATTTTGTTCTTAAGGAGAATGGTAAAATAAAAGAAACGGTGCAATTTAGGGGGCCTGCTCGTACGCATCCTTAGAGGAACTTTCCTGTTTGTCTAGAGTCTTCCGTGCTGATCTACATCATTCTGAGTTGTGCATCTGTGAATGTTTTTGTATTAAGGAGAAATTTCCTGGTATCTTCTTTCTGGAAGTATGATATATTTTAAAAAAATAGATTTTTAACTGTCTTTAGTCATCTCTTCATCATTCAATTAGTCCAGAAGTTATCCTCTGTATTTTTTACATCTATGCAATTTTCTGCAATATATCTTCCTTTTTCTGAGTTATGCTAGGTGAGTTACTAGGTAGGACTCTTATTTTGGTTCAGCTATATTTTCACCACTATACTCTGTTCTCAAGCGTAGGTGAAGACTTTCAAGTTATGTAGAAGTTTTGCACTTGACCAACCTAAGGTGCAGCTTTACTAAACTCGTGGTTTTCAGACCAAGTAATAAAACTCTGTGAAATGTCTTAACCTGGGATCTGAAGATTAAATTCCTCCAAAGACTTGATTCACCACCTTAAAGGTAATTCAGTTGCAATTCTTCCTTACTTGCACTTTCAGCATCTACCGAATATTCTGCTATCTGTCTCTGCATGATGACCTCACTTGTGCCGTTTATTGCACTTATAAGTCGGTGTAGGCTTCACAGACGTTCTATCGCATACCTTCAAAGCTGGAGTGTTCAGAAACGTAGCCTGCAGGATAGCTGGTGCAAGATTGAGATGGTCATAGCAGTTGTAAGAAAGGAGTAGACAAGGAGTGGAGAAAAAAAGACAGCTGAAGTCTAATGGAATGTGAAGCAGCTGGGTTGAGCCTCAGTCAGTGAAAAAGCTGAAGCTGGAAACAATTGCTAAATGTATTTTGAGTGTAAGCAATCATTTTCCTTGAACTGCAATGACTAAATATATCTATTGGTGTGATTGTATGGGGTGGTAACTCCTACTGGTTCTTGCTAGCCTCTTCCTGGCAGGCAGAGAGATTAGTGGAAGTTCACTGTCACTCAAGAATGTAACACAAGTGTCCCTCATCTAGGTTGATTGTTTCACTTGCAGAGAATATCTCCTACTTGTAAGGAACCTGTAATCTATCAGAATGGTTTGAGTTGTTGCACTCTATTGCATGAGTGGAAGAAACTTGGTACTTGTTCTTCGGGCAGGGAGTCTATAACTTTTTTTTAAGTTTCCTTAGGGATCCATTCTTCTTTCTGAAGTCTTTGAACTGTAATTGATACCTCAGCAGATCCTCTTTTGACTCCGTGTATTAACCTGTGCTATACTAGAAAGACTCTGATGCAAAGTCAAGAGTCTGTTTTTAAATATATATTAGCCCCTTATTTACTCCAGAGTTGAAAGTCTGTGGGTAGAATTGGCAAAATGAACTTTGCTGTTGCCTTACAAACCCTTTGAAAGGAGAGCCCTTACCTGCGGCCCTTGTAGCATCTTAACTGCAATTGGACAAATGGATGAATGTGAGATGTAACTTTCTCAGCTTTATTCTAAAGAAGCTGGAGATATGTTGTACTTTCCCTTGGCAGAGGCATTTGATGGCTAGTCAGACCTAATCCGAGATAGTCCTCACTTGAGCTACTGAGAGGTGACAGCTGGAATTGTTTGTTATCGTAGCAAGCGTATCTAATTTTGAATATCCTTGTACCCCAGCGAAGGTAAGATGCTAGAGAGCATCACCGGTCTTTGTGCCAGACAAAACTCTGGAAACTATGTAGTATATTAAAAGCTAATAAATTGTGTGTCAGACCTACGGGTAAGGTGATTGAATAGCCTTCTTCCTCTCTCCTGCAACTCACTACCCCCATCGTTTTGCCAAATTTGGATGCATGCAGAAGATATAATTTGTTCTGTTTTCCTGTGCCGGTCATCCCAAAATTTTTCTTCTGAAACTAGACTTCTGGGGTTGTGGGGTGTTAGCACCAGTGCCAGTTCGCATAGTTAAAATCTGTTGACCTCTATGCACTGTTGCTTAGCAGTGAAATGAATTATTCCAGTTTGTATTCTTCCTGTGGTGATTTTGTATTATCTGGAGAAAAACCTGTGCAGGGAGAGGAATCTTTCAGCTTCTCAGAAATTCATAACAGAGTATGTTTTTCTCTCTGAAAACAATTCAAAATTTATTGTCTTGCACCCTCCTGAATATTTGTGAGCTTCTACTTTGATTTTTCATCTATCTTTTCTTTATCAACCTGAGCAAATGATAGGATTCAGCCACTGTCATGATAGCAGCGTGGAAGAACTAGTAAAAGTGTTTTACCTATTGGCAGGACTATTAGCACTGTCATTTGTCACCTTTCTCTAAATAACTGAAGCTTGGCTTTCATGTGGTACAGCTGAGAAATACGGGAGAATGTTATGGAACAAGGGGATGGTAATAGAGAGCAGTGTGTCGTTCTCAGTGTTTTAGAGATTAGAGGGAAAGGGAGGGCTGGCTGGAGGAAAACTGCATGTATTTTTCACATCTGGAAGTTTAAATTTACAGCCCCAGAACTCCAAAGTGTATAAAAAAAGAAGACACGGAAGGAAAAAGGGACATCACAAATGGGAGATGCTGATGGAATGGTTGGAAAGAGCAGAAAAGAAGTGAGAGGAAGCCCAAGCCACAGATATTAGAAGAGGAGGGAACGGTGGGCTAAGTTGCATGCAAGTAGAATAGGTAGGAAAAGCAGAGAATGACAAAAAGGGGAAACAGGCAAGGAGGAGGCTGCTGGCAGCTTTCATAGGAGTTTATTCCAAGACGAAAAGACAGAAGATGAATTTCAGCAATCCGGAAGAGCTGGAGGAATCCTGCAGGTTAGGACATGCTGCCAAAGGAATGTTCTTCAGTTCTGCTGTTCGCATTGCTGTGGCCTGACAAATTTACAGCTACATTACCTGATCCGTAGCATGCACTCTTAAAAATGTATTTCTGATCTCTTTTTGCAGTGTATGGCTTTGATGCATATAGAGGAAACAATTTCATCTATGTAAGAAAGGTTATCCACACGTATTATATGAAGCATCCAGGAAAGTTGATGGTTTTGATTGTCAGTCCACTCTTATTTGTGTTGCATGTTTCACTTAAAGCTCTTCAGCTTTAGAACAATCTCTTGATGTTAAATCTGTTTGCTATTTTAGTCACTACTACTGCATGTCTTCAAAAAAAGAGTGTTTTCGTGTCGAGAGCAAGGAAGAAGCGAATAGAAAGAGAGAAGCATGAAAGAAGAGAGAGAGTCTGTATTGGGGCATTCATTCACTTAGTGGATTGGAAGATATGATATCAAACGTGGGGGAATCAATTTTTATACACTTGATTTTTGTTTTGTCATAATTAAGTAATCTAAA